CTTCAGAGGCTATATGCGGCACTGATTACTAATAATTTCCAATAGCATTGTAGTCGATTTAGAAGACAACGTGATAATTAGATAATATAAACGCCGCCATACACTATGCATTTTGAAAGGTTTTATTTCTAAAAATTCATAAACTTTTGAGAGATACCAAAAACTTGATATTTTTGTTATGGGATATGGCATTTTATTTTAATACTTTTTATGGTTAGCGAACTTCTCTCTGTATGTTTTATATGAATGTAGTAGATGTTCTAGAGGAACACGAACCAATAAATCTTCTGGACGATTACAATATCTCGTTTGTCCAGAAAAATCTAAAAACGGCTTTAAGTTTCAACTAAACTGTCTAGGGATTTTTTTAAAAAATGTTGAACTGAAATTAGTGAACTTTGAGACACTCTACATTTTCGAAAATTCGTTGACACTGAGCAAAAATGTTTCGGTTAACGATTCTCGTTAATTTCCGAGCCGCCTTTTGCTACTAAGAATCTCGCACATAGAAGAATTAAAAAAAAAACCTTTGATATGAATCGCGATGTGGTTTTGGATACCAAATCCGAAGGCAAGGTCGACATGTAAATCACAATCAGCGAAGCGCGGGCGGACTCGAAGCCCTGGCGGCCATTGTGCTGTACGCGGGCGATTCAATCGGCTCCGCTGCGGTGACGATATTAATTTTTGTCAGATTAATCAGTAGTGACGCATTAAAATCTAAATAATTAACAATCAGTTGTAGCTATCGGTTGGGCCAACTAAAATTTTGATGCAAACCAAGCTGCTAAACCTTCTGAATATTTTCTTCCTTCTCCTTCGTCTTTATTTAAACAGATCCGTATTCTGCCCTATTCTCTTATCGAGCGGCGAGCACCGACCTCAGGATTTTTTGAATTATTTCCCGTTTAATGAATGTTTAGATGATTATCAAATTCTTGTCCGTACCTTGACAAGCCCAACTTTTCAAAAAGTAAATCGCTAGAAAATGACAAGCAGAATTGATAACTTTGTTTTCTTTCTTTCTGGTGTTTTTTTTCTTTCTTGTTCACAATTAAACTCAAATAAGTAATAATAAATAATAAATAAGATGAGGATGCCAAACAGTGTAGACAACTTTTCCCATTTTATAAAAAGAAACCCTAAAAGTCAACATACAAAAGAGTTATTGCAGTTGATATCTGTATTATACTGTATATACTTATATTTTTAAAGATAATAATTGATGAGGGGAAAAGAAATGCAGCAGATTAGAGACACAAAAAAGGACGTAAAGCAGATAAGAAGAGACCAACAAGAATACAGGCAGGGAGTGAAAAAACTGAGAGAAGAGAACAATAGCTTAAAACTGGAACAAATAACAATTCAAAATAAATAATGAAGCAAAGAGAAGGAAAGGCGAAAAGAGAGATTGACATTGTTGTGAATGCGTTACCAATTGATGCCAGAGATCCAGATTTGCTTAAACAAGCTGTGGGAAACTTTCTGAAGCAGTATCTAAAACAAGAGGTTAACATCCAAAAGGCGCAAAGGTTAGAAGAGAAAACAATGATTTTACTAAGGCAGAAATGGATGTCCAAAAAATTTTAAGGGTGAGTTACAGTCAGACAGAAAATAGTCCCTAATTTCAAGATTCGGCATTCCGAAATTACTAAAGTACAGATTTCAGAATTTTCCCCAACCAGTTTCGCATATATTAATAAAAAAATATAGAAAAATAAGACTTGAGCTTTTTTTGGTCGAGGAATATCACTAATTTCTAATTTCGGGACAGACGGTATAACATGTAACAATTATGGAAGCTATAATATAATATGTAACAATTACGTCGGATTAGATTCGAGTGAAACCGGTATGGTGTTAGGCTAACGGTAATTATATATCCGTATCAAAAGACATATAAGGTGTAAAAATTAAGAGTCTGGTAAAGTAACTGCATGGAAAAGTAACTGAACGGCCTTTACATTCACGCAGAATATCGTATTTTGCTCTTAAAACGTCGGAATCAAGTTTTGAGGAAAAGGAATGTTGTGTGCTTTTTTTTACTGAAAAAGAATTCGCCATTTATCAAGTGCCTGAAAGTAAAACAACATAAACATGAATTGAACTGAGGTGGCTTTTACTTGATGAAAATCCATTTATCCAAATAAATAAGAACTAACTAAATGTTTTGATATTGAAATTTGATAAAGACATGGTGTTGTCGAAACAATTGCCATATCAAAATATAAAATTTCGTGAAAATCTGAACTTTTGGTTCTTTTTTTTAAATAAACATGAATCGGGAAATATTGGGTTGTTCGGAAAGTCATTTCGTTTTTTTTGAGGAACATGAAAGACAGTTTTCGTATAATGAATAAATATTTTATTAAATTACATATTGGCCATTCTCGTCCAACACCTTTTGCTATCTTTCTAGCAGTAACATAATTCCCCTCTCATAAAAGTTTTGGTCCTTGCTGGCAAAAAACTGGTTCAGGTGTTTTTTGACATCTTCATTTGAGGTAAAGGTTTTGCCATCCAAAAAATTTTGCAGGGACCGGAACAAATAGTAGTCGGAAGGCGCCAGATCTGGAGAATATGGTGGATGTTGCAGTACGTCCCATTCAAGCTGTAAAAGTTTTTGGCGAGTGACCAAACTTGTGTGAGGTCTCGCATTATCCTGGTGGAACACTACACCCTTCCTGTTGATTAATTCGGGCCTCTTCTCTTTAAATGAATCATGCAATTTGTCCAGTTGATGACAATAGACTTCTGAATTAATCGTTGTATTGTCCGGCAAAAGCTCAAAAAAAACGATTCCTTTGACATCCCACCAAACGGAGAGCATCACCTTTTTTTGGTGAATGTTGGCTTTTGACACGCTTTGAGCCGGTTCACTTTTCTGCTCCATGACCTCTTGCGTTTAACATTGTTGTATACAACACATTTTTCGTCCTCAGTAATAATCCGCTTCAAAAATGGATCATTTTCTTGACGTTTGAGGAGCGAATCGCACACGTCAACGCGACGACACAAATTTCGCTCCGTAAGGACATGGGGCACCCACACATCGAGCTTCGAGGTTAAGCCCATGCCTTTCAAATCAATCAATCACCGATCACTCGTGTGGTTATTCGCCGATTTGCATCAAGTAATGCCTTTATCGCATCTTTGTCAGCTTCGACCGGCCTTCCAGACCGTGGTGCATCTTCGACATCAAAATTGCCGGATCGAAATTTTGCAAACCAGTTCTGGCACTGGCGTACTGTTAACACGCCTTCTCCATACACATCCGTCAATTTTTTTATCGCTTGGACAACATTTTTACCTTTTCTGAAGTAAAAAAGTAAAATATGACGAAAATGCTGCTTATTGCTCTCCATATTTAAAAGGGCGCCAACCAAAAACTACTGCGTAGAATTAATAGAACTTTTTCACACAAGCCTTGCAATATCAGCTCTCAAGACATATAATGGTTATGCGGCTTAAGTGTGAAGTTTTTTTCGAAAAAACGTAATTAAGTCCTCTGACGGGAAAAAACGAAATGACTTTCCGAACAACCTTATACAAAGGTTCTTAATTTTCTAAATAGAAATTTTCAAAAAATTGCTTAACAGTTTGGCTGAAGATAATACAGGCTGTGGGTAATACAGGAGGCACGTAATCTAACTGGAAACACAGAACAGATATTTTATCGCAAAAGTTTATTGGACAGACTGTAGGTTGGCATTAGGGGCAGATACACGCTAAATGCCAACTAGCATCACTAGCCAGACATGCCAAGGTCAAAAACAGGAGAAGCATCCTTTGACAGGTAACCACAAGAAAACTGAATGGTAGGGACACACATGAGTATAATAGGCAGACACTCACTTAGTAACTAATTCAATCTCTGCTACTACTACTACACTGATGGGAAAAGACCCCATGACAGAAATTTTACAACCAAGAAAGCAACAATTTTGGAAATATTTCAGACAAGAACAAATTATAAATTAAATAATTGGTCGTTTATGTTTTGCCCGGAAACTTTTGCCCTCAGTTTATAGACATATTTGAAAATATTTTATAAAAATTTTCAGCCTCTTACCTCTTCTTCTCTTTTGACATCGATATCATTTTTTTCGCATTCAGCATCAAAGTAGTGGCGTCCGTTTTGACAAATCGGTATCCTGAGCACGCATCTAATGCAACACAAAAATAAATGGTACTACTACGTTCTTTTCGAGCGCTCACGAGTTGCTATGCTTTTGTGTCGTAAAACAAATAATAGTTCAAACATTTTGCAAACTTATTTTCTTTTCTTGTAACCTTGATGATATTAAACCAATAAAAAAAAAGACAAAAAAATCGACGGGACAGCGAAAGGTCATAAGGTTTGATCTTGTTCTAACTTACAGACATCATTTTTCCAACCTGCGTATACATCAAGAAATCACCCGTTGGATCATTTCAAGCATTCTCTCTATTTATTTTTAATTTATCTTTATCCTTACTTTAAATTAATTGTAACCATAGTTATAGCCAATTTACTAGTCACATAAAAAATTACTATTGCTTGGTGTCGTTAGTTTAGTTTAGTTTAGGATGCTGTTTAGAGCCTGGAACTTTTCTATCAGAGCCCATATACTTAATAGATGTAATGAACCCTTGTCTATGCTGATAATACAGGCAGTTCTGGATATCATAATCCTGCAATATCTCGCTATCAATCAAATAGACCTTGCAAAAAACGAGTTAAGCAGATGGTGGCGTTGCTAAGCGTAAACGTAAATTATTCGTTTTACTTGCAATCTCAATGTTTCCATGAACCTTTGACCTGCCTATGTTATCTGCATAAGCGATAATAAAGCATTATTATCCCAATGCAACCATTCCCAATTTTATTTGCAATCTATAGTAATATTTTTTCCGGCTGAGGTCACATTGAATCGTAAAATCGACAAAAAAACGCAAGAATTTGATCCTTGATCCTAATAGCTGCCTGCGCACCTCAATACAATTTATTTTACTTGTAGAGAAAAATGGAGACGAGACTGTTGTTCTTTTCCTCGCTGATTTTCGCCGTCCTGGAGCCGACACGTGGTCACGGACGTCTCATAGAACCGCCGTCCAGAGCGTCCGCGTGGCGATACGGATTTGACACTCCTCACGATTACAATGACCACGAATCTTATTGCGGCGGATTTACGCGGCAATGGATCAAAAATGGTGGCAAGTGTGGGGTCTGCGGAGACGCCTGGGATTCCAAGTGAGTCAGACGCGTTATGGTCACGTATTTTCTGTACTCCTTAAGTTTGTTTTAGAAAACCGAGGGCTCACGAGTACGGGGGCACTTACGGACAGGGCGTTATCGTCAGAAAGTACGGGGTGGGGGGCTTGATGAACGTCAGGGTGGAATTAACGGCCAACCATCACGGTTACTTCGAGTTCTCCATTTGTCCAGGTACAGTATGCCGCGCTACTGGATGAAACTCGATTAGTGACGGTTTTTTGAAACCAGAAAGCAAGTAATTTTTCAAAGAAACTTCCACAGGCTAATGTAATACTTTTTACAAAACTTCTGCATTCCTCCTGCGTCGGTTTTTGCTTAGTCGAAATTGCTGACGTTTCGCCGATCATCATATTTTCTCCGTACCTGCTTATATATTGTTTGAGGGGGCCGCTAATGAGGGGTTATAAACACCGTCTCGAAAGTTTTCATTTAAAACCAAAATTATGGAAACGCGACGTCGATGATACTTTTGTTATTTGGCCTCACAGAATTAAAACACCTTTCCTCTGCTCTTCTCTCTAATAATTTCCACATTAAAGATATTAAGCGTTCCATCAAAAAATACACTTCACCACAACCTTGGAATAACGATGAGGCCGAAAGCAAATGCTACACTTGCCACTGTGGTCCTTACTTACATTCAAAACATCACTGACCACATAAAAGTTCTAAAGAAGGATAACGTCAAAACCAGATTCAGCACTTGTCCAAAAATCTCTCAACATCTGCGGTCCGTCAAAGACAAAATTCCATTTGAGATGCCAGGAGTTTACAGCATTCCATGCATATGCGGCAAAGAATACGTTGGCTCAACCTAGGCTCAAAGAACGTCTATAGAAATATCATTAGCGTTTCAGACGACAAGCTCTGAAGAAGCCATCAGGATGATTGGCGAAACGTCAGCAATTTCGACTAAGCAAAAACCGACGCAGGAGGAATCCAGAAGTTTTGTAAAAGATACCAGAGAGCAAGCTTAAAGAAATATTACCCATAATTTTTCTATTTTGATCACAATTAATGCAGTTAAGTTATCGATAGTCATAATTATTCTATTTATACTGTAAATCGTCATGAAAATTATCCAGATTAACCTTACGACTTCCAATATCGTCTGCGTAATCACCATGGTCATGTATGTATAAATTCAAATAGTTACATATTTACTTTATTGCTACTTCCTTTAAAAGCGAATAGTCGAATATAGCTCGCCAAGGTCATCGAAATGCTTTCGAAACTGATATGTTTTATTAAGTGCCTTATAGTTGATAAATTTATTTTGTAATTGTTTTAAGATGATTTTATTGGGAGCGCAGGATACCATAATAAAAATAAAATTTTATAACAGCTTTAAAAGTTGATAGTTGTTCCCTTTAAAACAATTTCTCATTTCTCTCATATAGATTCATTAAGACTAACCTATCTTTTTATGCTAATTCAGAATCCAGTCTACTGCAAAGCGGTAAAATATCGCGTGGTCAAGCTTGTAATTGGCAAATGTCAAACGTAGTGGTGATTTCACAAAATGAGTGAGAAATAGGTATCAACGATTTTTAAATTCACACTGTAAATCAAATAGCTGCGACATCGTCACCCACTGCTAAGTTGGAATCTATCATCACAGATTTAGAACATTGAAATGTAAATTCTAGGTCTTCCGAAAGTCAACAGAATTACAGAATTAATAATCTTCAACAACTTTGTTTTTGCGACGACTTTTATATAGGTAAATAATAAAATTGATTTCAAACACACTTTAATTTTATAGGTATATCGCACGGGATAAAAATGGTTTAATTCAAAGCTTAAAAAGAAACGTCTTGTCATGGATACGAAAAATCACATTAATGTCAATAAAGTCTATTAAAAGGTTTTAATTTATAAGAAACAAAATTTTTTCAAAAGTAATAAACATCGTTTTTTCAAATTTTCTAAGTATGGGCAAAATTTGAAGTGCTTTAAAATGCAAATATATACGTATAGTGTCAGTAAAGTGGACCTTATAGTGGCATTTCATATTCAGAGCCGTAACTATTGTACATAAAATTATTAAATACCCATCCAATTTAAGCGTGAACTTCAAGCCGCCATCAACCAAATAATTTAGGAGAGCGTCATGGGAGCATTAAACAAATTATTTTTGTCGGCATTATCACCACATAAAAATAAAAATAATATTTTTCGACGCTCTTACAAAATGAAAATGTCATTGCTAAGTTCTTACAGTACCATACAGCAAAGATTGGTTTTGAACGAAACGTTTTCAATGCTGCTATAAATTTATTTTATAAGTATTCTGTTTATTGCTAATAATCTTTTTTAAACACAGAAATGTAACTTAGGATCATGCGGGACCCCAATACTGCTCTATTAAAAAACTGTTACTTAATATTTTTATATAATTGTTATATAATTATCATGGGCGATCATTATATAACATCTATTGGATACAATTGTTTTATAAACTCGCATCTTTTCTTTGTTTTTAAGCGCCATATTAACGTTTACCAGGTATTTTTAGAATAAATGAGTTATATTAAACTTTGTTATGTGGTAAGGTATATGACAATTTTGAGCGCGTTTGTGCTACTCGGGCTGTAAATCCTTTATTTCTAAACGAACTGTGACAAATCGTACTTCCGTATACTTGGAATCTATGGACCTGATCAGTTTTTTAATACACACAATTTATTATTTACGTAATATACAGGGGGTATTAAAAAAGGTCCCGATATTTTCAAGAGTAAGTAGAATATTAAGTAATAACGTTATTAATTCGGCCAGCATTCATTGCTAAAACCTAAAAAAACAAGTAGTTTTTTTGGTTTTGTACAAGAATACCTTTTTTGGGACAAACGACAAACATTTTTGTGAAATTGTGAAATTTCTGACATTTTCGGAAATTTCATTATTCAAGAGTAATTAGAAATTAGAAATTTAAACACCCTGTGTAGGACAGCTGACATATAGTTTTAACCATAGATTATCGGGTATCCGAAAAACTTGTGTCCTTTTGCCAAAGATATTGTATCCAACCCATTTGCTTCTTTACTGTTGATAATTTTGCGATTTTTACGTTTTGAGAAATATTATTTTTCTAAATATTAATTAAACAAATATTGAATTGTGTTGTATAGTGTGCTTCAGTGTTCATAGAGAAGCCACACCTACTGTGTGATTGAATCGTATTTATGCCACTGGCGATTTTTTGCTGTTGCCTTTCCTCCCCAAGGACCGCTCCAGCTGAAATGTGTCCACTTTCTCCTCTGGAAAGGTATACAAGACACAAATATGGGTAACTTTTAAGTCCCTAAATATGCAGAATGGGATAAATGTTCAGAAGCTATCAAAATTAAATTGTCAAAGGTTAGCTAAAAAACGTTTTAGAAGAAACAAATTCCTTGATTTTGGAAGGAAACACTAAAATTTAAAAAGTCGTTTTTTAAAAAATATTTATTACTTTACTTCTGGTAATTTTTTAATCATTAGTCTATAAAACTATAAAGTAGCCCTCCCCACCCTTTTTTTAAACTGTTAATTACATATTTGGTTCTATTACTGACCCTGAGAAAAAAAAAACTCTCTCAAAGAGCAATTAAGGACGAATTATTGTTATTTTCTTTAACAGGGTGTCATTGTTTGAGCGCCACTCCTCCTATTTTCTTTTATCATTTATTTTACGGACTCTTTTGCGTGTAGATTTCAAATATACGACTCAGGCGTGCTTGGACGAAAACAAACTCAAGCTGGTGAGGCCGCAGGAAGGGGTCGACCACCAGGGATCCAGATATTTTCCCAAAGAAGGCAACAAGGTTTACGAAATGAAGTACAGGCTACCAAAGAGAACGTGCAAGCATTGCATATTGCAATGGCGATATATAGCCGGTGAGGCGCGCATCGTGGCGATCGTAATGGTGCGGTTCGAGTAATTTCGTTAACTTTCCGCGGCAGGCAACAACTGGGGCAACTGTCCGAACGGCACCGGCGCCGTAGGCTGCGGACCCCAAGAAGAATTCCGGGCCTGCGCGGACATTACGATTTCGGGCAAGCCGACCGACGAGGCGATGGTACCACCGGACGTGGAGGTCGTCGAAGACGGCGAGGATTACAACGAGTTGGTGCCCCTGATAGACACGCCGACGGTGCCGCCGAAACCGTCGCACTACAATCCGATTTCCGCCATCGTCGTCGCCGTCGTGTCTTTTTTAGTAGCATTTTTAGCGTTGTTCCTGCTCTATTTTCATTTCTACCGGGTTGGTAGTGCCGTGCGCGACTTTTTGAAGAAGCGCACCGAAAAGTCGGGCAAAAACTTCCCTCCCGCCGTTCCCCCCAGGTCCAGGAAAGGCAGCAGGGGCAACGAGGAGGATCTCCCCGTCGAGACGCGCGGTTGAAGTTATCGTGTGATATATTTAACTCTCGTGAGCGATTTCCTCTTCTAGAAAGGTATAAAAGTCTGACGCAATTATGGTGTACGGTGCGTCCATTGTAAATAAGTACGTAGGAATTCGGCGAATAATTCCAAAGATTTGCGTGTATAAAAGGAATTACGGAGCGCACCCTTCGCAATTTAACGACGAATCAGGGATATTGAGTGTGCACAAATATTTTTTTAAAATGTAAAAATGCGATGAAATTTACGATGGTTGTTAGGTGGTGTCTTAGGAAACAAAACATCTATTAACAGTGACGAATGAAACATTTAGTGTATAAATTCGTGTTGGCCGTCAATTGATCACTTATCTATTATTATTTAATAATAATATATATTTTATATTAAATTATTATGCATGTGTGATGTCCAATTTACCTTTATAGGTATATAATATCCAAAAACGATACTTAGCGAGTCGGGGATTCCCAGTAATAATATCGCACAATAAAAATAAATATAAATGTCGTAGTATTTTTAAAATTATTTTGATCAAATGACCATCGATTAATAATTAGATTAATTACTAATTAAATTCATGAATCTTTGTTTACCTTTCAGTGTTGAACAGATCATAATATTTTAATATGAAGCATTAACATTTTTCTTTATGATTATTTTTTTTCTCTTAAAGATTCATTATTATTTAAAGTGCTTTATTTGCTTTTTATTTTATTACGAAATTAGGTGTCCACTTTAATTAGGTATACTTATTATAGGCGTCTTTTGGATGCATAAATCGTTTTATCGATATTTCGTGTCTACTCCGCTGTAGATGTTATAATAAAATTGAATGTTGTGGATTTTTAAAAATGTTATTTATTAATTATTTATTTTATAATTAATTAATAATAATTAATAATATTAATTAATAATCAATACTATTAATTAATATTAATTAATTAATTAATATTAATTAAATTAAGATGACGCTTTTATGAGTCGGGCGGGCAGGGGCTCGCGCTTTTGCGGAGACTTTTCAGGATACTTTCAAACGTATCCAATGTTTTATAAAAATATTGGTGCAAATGGCAACCTCCCACAGACCTCTAAACATTTTTTAGAGGTCTGTGCTTCACTTCACACTCAAGCCTGATGCTAGCGGCGTACTTTTCACATCGTAGATGAATAATATTTATTCGAAATCGAAGTGCAATCAATAATACCACCGTGTAAGTTAGATTTAGGTTTATTTTTCAGTGACTTGTTACATATTATTTGACTATAATTCCTTAGTTACGAAATAAAATATACATACAACTATTTGTAGTCACAGTTACTGTTTTGTACCACCTAGAACATGCCAAATCATGTCTACCATGACATATTTGCATAAATAAGATTTTTTTGAGGATCATTTTTTTCTTTATCCTTAAGCTGATTTTAAATATACATAAACCCACGAAAAAATTTTTTTTGTCCAATTTGGGAAACACGTATTACAACAAGCATTTCAAATCAGCTCAAAGTATCGCAAGTAGCATTAAGGGCGATTATTACGTCACGAATTGCGCTTCCGCACATTATATTAATTTCCAAATTTATAGCCGCCATTTAAACATTTACACTGGTCGCTAGGAATAAGCGTACCGAGTTCCAAATCAAAATTTTAAATTTTAAACTTTTTGCGATTGGTTTTCAGCGAATAAATAAAATTGAACAATATATGCCGATGAAACAACTTGCTAGGGGAATTCTCCTTTGCTTCGCCAATAATTAGTGCCATTATTACGTTTCATTATCGTACCTGTCCCAAGTTAAATACTAGGTTATCTCATCTCTAATAAAATGATTGATAAAAATTAGAACGGATCCGTTTGAATGCCTCTTCCAGTCTCAATCTTCTCCAGAGCCTCTTCATTGATGATATCATGGACTTGTGACTAGAATTTATAGAATCGCGAATAGGCACAAAATAAAAAAAAAACAAATTCGTAGGTTGTAAACTTGCCCTTTTCCTATATATCTATCATACATCATCAATTACACAGGAACGTAAAAAATTCCCTATTTCTTTAATAGAAAATTTTTAGCTATTTAGCCACAACATTTCTATTCCCTAAAATTGAAGAATATCATAGCCGCCCTATATTTATGTGGTTTAAACCTGCCAGACGAGACGGCGTCGGTGCGAATTTCTTAAATTGCACGAGAGCGATGAAGGCGGGCAGCAAATTGCGAAACATGATGATCAGCGTGTTTCGCTTGATCGCGAAATAACCCGCCGCACTAAACTCGATTCTGCCGGTGGCTATTCGGTGACCAAAATTTTCGAGCAGTTGCCGTTCCTCGGTAAATTCGGGGAAGTAGATTTCCACCTCGCGGCACATGGGCAGCAATTTTCGCGATTGCCCGACGGCGAAATCACAGGCGGACGTCAGAGCGGACGGCACTACCTGCGCAATGCGAAAGAGACGTCCTACTTATAGGTAGAAGCAAGTACATCATTTTATATTCAACACATTCGCCACTGACGTTTCGCCAATGTTGCCTCCTTCGGGGCTTAACCGAAAAAAAAGTTTTCAGACGCAAAAAGGATATAGAAGATAAAAATAGAATTATAATAGTATTTTCTTTTGGAAAACATTTATTTTAATTTTAATAGCCTCTGTATTCAATACATAACCGACCTATCACCTCAATAATCTCAGAAAAATTTGACAGCTCTATCTTAACCATGTTGGTCAAGACTATGTCGTCATTGACGTATTTGATTCTCATTCGAAGAATTCTATTCGCGGAGACTGATTTAAATTCACCTTAATTGAATTTCATTGATTTTTTAATTAAATATTATGGTTATGTAGTCTAATAGCAGAGTTTCCGGACAAATCTTAAATTTGTAATTAGATATCATTGTAAAACCCCCATTCTGAGTCAAATAGTTGCTAATTTCGATAAGATCCCTGCCAGAATCCAAATTTACCTTAGAAAAGCAGACATGTACTTAAAACCCCTCTTTTTTGGACAAATCGATGGTTTCCGCTCTTGATTTCGAGTAGATTATAGTCAAAACCAACATTTTCATAACTTATCGGACTCAGATCCATTAAAACTGCAGATAACTATTTAAAAACCCACTTTCTTGGATTGATAGTAGCTTTTCCTTCCATTTTTCAAACAGATTCCAGTCAAAATCGGCTCCTTCGACACATATCGAACTTAAAACCGCAGATATCAGCTCAAACTATCATTTTTTGATCCAAACAATTACCTTTTGTTGTCAATATGTTTCAAATACTAGCCAAAATTGTCGTCTTCGGTCATTATAGTAACGAAAATCTTTATAAACCTGTCTTAGTGCACCCAAATCTACCTTAGAAAAGCAGATATGTACTTAAAATCCCTCTTTTTGGGACAAATGAATGGTTTTTGCTCTTGATTTCGAGTAGATTATAGTCAAAACCTGCATTTTCATAACTTAGCAGACTGAAATATACATTAAAACTGCAGATGACTACTTAAAATCGGCTTTTCCGACACAAATCGTACCTAAAACCGCATCAAAACAAGACAAATAAATCAACACATTTGCCTGCTTTTGTTATTTATGTTTATAAATCTCTGATAAGTGGTAATTTGTGTTTTTAAAATCTATTAAATTTGTTGAATTTGCATTTTAATGGTTTACTTGCAAATGTTGGATTTTTTTTTTATATAAAAGATAAAACATGTCACCGGCTGAAAAAATGGAAAAATGCACTGAAACCTTGTTTTGCTTATTGCTTCAACATAAAGGCATAGCCAACTAAGACTATTTAACAAAAGAGAAAGAGAGACAGAGAGGAGACAAGTACTATTAGGGATTTAAAAAAATAAATAAATTTGCAACGAATTTTAATTCAGGAGTATTTAGAACCCAACAATACCAATATTTTTAATGTTTCAATACAGGTTGTTTGAAATATTGTTTGAGCCCCGCTTAAGGCTGCATATCGTTGTAAAATATTTGTATAAGGTTTGATTTTGTTTTTTTTTGTTGGATAGATCTCTCAAAAACGCACTAAAACCTTTTGTTTCTTATTATATCAACCTGAAGTCATGGCTAACTATGACTATTTCGGATGTCAAATATCGAGAAGGGCTATTAAAGATTTCTTTAAAAATAAAATGTCAACGAATTTTTATTCAGGGATGTTTGTTTATGGCTCAATTTTGATAATTCATTTTTGTTGCATAGATTTCACTAAAACACACTAACGATTTTCTTAAAATTAAATATGATTAGAGAGGATTAGATATGAACTAAACAGACTTTACCGCGCTGTATTTTTTTTAATTAAAAAGAATTTATAATTTTCATCTAATAATAAAAATAAGCGAAATATCAAAATTGATTGACGTCGGCAAACCAAGTTTGCCATGGACTGTCAAATTCACTAGCTAATTTAGATTTTAATTTTATTTACAATATTTCTTTCGAATACTACGATTTATTAAAGGTGTAGTTATAAGATGATCCTAAAAAATAAATGTCCCTTAAAAAGTCTTTTTTATCAATATTTTTGAAATTTGGATAATTAAAACTATCCAGTACAAAAGGATTACCAAAATTAAGCTGTAAACAAACAGGAGTAAATTCATGAATATCACTATAGTTGTTGACACTATATTCTTAAAGATATCCCGAATAGCCCTTCTCGATATTTGACATCAAAAATTATTCCCAATTGGCCATGACTTATCCATCAAAAGGAAACTTAGCAAAATGAAATCGTAATCGAAGATTTTATAACGATGTACAGCCTTAAGCGGGGTGCAAACGATATTTCATACACCCTGTTTTGAAACTTTATAAAAATTGGTATAGATGAGTTCTAACTACTCCTGAATAAGAATCCGTTGTCAATTTATTTATTTTAAATCCGTAATAGCACTTCTCTCTTCTCTATCTTTTGTTTAATGGTCGCAGTTGGCCACTACTTTAAATTGAAGCAAAAAGGAAAATAAGGTTTTCGTGGATTTTTCACAAGGGTGTACAGTTCCTAAGTGGGACACACTGTATATCATATCTAAGAAAGTAAGGAGTGCCGGATCTATATTTAAATTGTTATTTTTTATTTTTTTGGACGTAAATGTATTACGACAGAAAATTAGGTAGTAGCTCACGCGGAATCACTGTTGAATCTACAACTCTACATTTGCCAGCTCAAACTCCTTCCCGACAATTAACAGGAATGTAGCCTGGCGTTTAATAGTCGGACTAAAAAATAGCTGGACACTATCGTTTGCGGATGATCAAGTGATGTTAATGATAAAGAAACTGAGGGGAGGATACCAGCAATGGGGGTTAAATAGGAATATGGTGGAAGTGAAGTATCCAAGAAGAAGTAGAAATAAAAATACACGAAATCACAATACGAGGGCGGCGCCAAAATTTCCCGGCCTGAATGTGAAAGAAACAGAGTAACAATTTTTTATTGTTTTTCAATTTAATCCCCCTTAACTTCAGTACACTTTTTTTTTTCCGTAGCGTCACAACCCTTCGTGGGTCTTAGCTGCATCTACGGCTCGTCTCCATCTGTCCCTGTCCAACACAACCTCCTTCCAGTTCCGTACTCCCAAGATTTTTACATCCTCTTCGATATTGTCCCTCCATCTGAGCCTTGGTCTTCCTAAGGGTCTCTTTCCTGCTGGGTTTTCTTCCCATATCCTCTTTACAAGACGTTCATTCGGCGATCTCTGCACGTGTCCAGCCCACCTGTGCCTTTGTGTGCTTTTATTTCGTTTATTAAACTCGGTCTTTTGTACATGTCGTTAAGCTCCGCATTCGTTCTTATTCGATATTGACCCGTTCTCTCATCTATTGTTGGTCCAAAGATTTTCCGCAACATCCTTCGTTCAAAGCGTCTTAACACTAGTTCGTTCTGCTTTGTCATTGTCCATGTTTCCGAGCCATACATTACGATTGGCTTGATTACTGCCGAATATATCCGTAGTTTTGAGTTCCTAGATATCAGTCGGGACTTAAACAGGTTCTGCAAGGCGAAAAAACATTTATTGCCCTTTTGTATTCTTGCTTTTATTTCGCTGGTGATATCGTTATCCGAAGTTATAACTGCTCCTAGGTACTGAAATTGGTTTACGCATTCAAAATTGTGGGTGTCCATGGTTATGTTCTGTCCTATTCTGCCCCTTCCTGCTCTCCGTCCGGCCCACATATATTTGGTCTTGTCCTCGTTGATCATGAGTCCTACCTTCTTGGTCTCCTTCTCTATGTTCATGAACATTTCTTTTGTTTTAATCGTACTGCTTCCTACCGTATCAATGTCATCGGCAAATGCCAAAATCATTTCTGGGCCCTTATTTGTAAATATTTCCAAGCCAATATTCGCTTCTTTGATGGCCATGTCCAGCACTATGTTGAAAAGCAATGGTGAAAGTCCATCGCCCTGTTTTAGGCCATTGTTAATGGAGAAA